ATAATTAATAATCATCTAATAAATTATTATCATTATTTAATAATTATGTAATAACAAGTTTTTTAATTTATATATTATCCTAATGATCATAAAAAGTAACATGATAAATAAGAATATTAAAAATAATAAATTTGTTAAATTTAATTAATTGATCAAAAGTCTAAACGATAAATTGATTATTTTAACTCCTAAATTCAATCTCTTAGTTATGTTAATTTATTAATGGTATGGATGTTTATCAATTAATTAATTATATTTTATTTTTGAATAGTCAATTTAACAATAATAATAATATCAAATAGGTAATTATTATTGACAAATAACATTAATATCATGAAATCAAATTTAAGTTTAAAAAAGGAATTACATTATAAAAATTTATCATAACCGTAAAATGTATTTAGTTACACAGATATAAGTATGAAAATAAAGATAATTAAAGGCAAAAACATTGTAACAAAAAATAATAATAATAAACTCTATGATTGATTTGCTCCAACATAAGTATAATTTTGTGATAGAGAAAAAAAGAATGAGATGAAAAGAAGATTATGTTAAGCATTCAGTATCAAATGTATAAGACCATTTATATAGAGTATAGAATAAAAAAAAGATATGATTCATCCATACATAAATATATAATTTTTTGTACACATTCAAATTTGATATTCAAATTCTAAAATTTTAAAATTTAAAATTTAAATTCAAATTTTAGATTCAGAATTCAGTTATTATTTGTTTGTTTCAATAGCTTTTTTTTAACAAAATTGTATTGGTATCACTTTCTAAACTAAAATCAAGAGAAACTTAACTAATTTAAAGAATAAATAATAATTTAATAAAAAAAATAGATTAAAATTTCATAACTAAAGTGACAAAATGATTGTTTATTAAACTTCTCAAACTTAAATATTGTTTTTCTTTAAATAATAAAAATATAAAAATAGAAATGCATTAAATTTCATATAAAAGAATCCAAGAAACATACACATAAAGCATATAAACATATCTACCATATATAAACTTTTATGTTGATAACCTAGCAAGACTTAATTTTTTTACCTATAAAATATCTCCCAAATAGTTAATTCAAGTGTTTAATCAGATAAAAAAAAAAATTCACTCAATATTTTATGAAACATTTTATTTCTATGCAACTACTCATCCATGTTAATATTTACTTTTATCGCTCTAACTTTCTTTTCGAGTTTTTTTAAGATTAAACATGCATTATTGTATAAAATAGTTATCATATTGCAAAATGATAGAATTTTTCTTTAAGATTAATAGGTACTATTTAATATATAATACACTATTTTAATTACTTAATATTGTAAATATTTTTAGAATAAAATAAAAATTTATGATATACAACTACTTTTTATTAGTTTTAATAAATTAAATATTTATTTTTTTATAAATAAAAATATAGATAGTATATTTCTAATTTTTATTTTTTGATGGATAAGAATAGAAATAGTAATTATATTCCTAATATTTGTTTAGTAATTTACAGGTTATTTGAGCTTAAATGCTAGCATATTCCTAATATTTGTTTTGTTATTCCCGATAATCTTTCTGCACTCCCCTTTGTTTAAATGCATTATTTTCTAAAATAAAAAAAATGGATTTTTTTAAGAGCCTATTTGATTTTAAAAAAAATATTTTGAATTAATTATAAAATTATCACTTTATTTTTATTCTATTTTTTATCTTGTATATTTACTTTTTTTGTATATATCTTTAAAAATAAAAAATAATATGAGAGTTATATAATTAAAAGTAAAAGAAAACTAAACTAGATAACCTTTTAGGCTATGTTTGGGAGTTATTTTTAAGAGAGTAAAAGAGGGGCTAGGAGGATTAACTTTTGTTTGACAGTTGTTTAATTAAGAGGAAAAGTTTGGGTGAGTTTTTTTTTTATGCCTTCAAAACCTTTTGATGCTAATTTTTTGAGTTTTCTGTTTCAGAAGATTTTTTCTCTTTCACTCTCGTACTATTCTTTTTTTTAGGAATATATTAGTTTTTCAAGTGATGATTTACTTTAAAAAATTTTAAAAATAAAATATTAATTTTAAAAACATTAATTTATTAATTTTTAGAAAAATATTTATTTTTTATTTTTATAAAAAATATATAAATAAAATATATAAAATTTAATAATATTATTTATATAATTAAACTCTCATTACACTTTTTTTTCAATTTTAAACATCTAAACACAAAGAGATTTAACTTCTTTTTCCTTCTCTTTCCTTAGAAACTCTCAAAACAAAGCCTTAACTATTTATTTTCTGAATGATTGGTGTTTCTGCTTGGAAAACACTAGTCTTTAAGTTTCTGCTCTGAAGTGATGACGTCCCTTTGACTGTTGTTGATGTGGGGAGAGTACTTACAAAAGGCACTCCGATGCTGAAGTCAGGATTCAGTTCTGAGCAATAAATGCTATTTAATAATAAAAGTCAACCCTTTACATGAACTTCTACCTTCCTGTTATAGGCTTTATTATGAGCTAATAGGTTTGATGAGTCAACATTTATTTTGGCCCTTTACTTAAAATAGATAATGCTCTTATTATTACTCTTAATTGAGTTAATTACCTTTTAATCCTGATAACAAAGTATTCGGTCAAACTAGGTCGAATAGGTACTCAGTTTCCTTTTGCTATATGTAGGACCGAACAGTTCCTATCCAGTACAATTGGGAATGAGCATCTGGCTCAACCTTTGCTTCTACTAGGGGTGTTCATAGATTGGATTTTCAAATAACCAATCTAAATCTATTTATAATCCATATATTTAGATTGGATTATAAACCAATCCATTTTAATTTTTTTAAAATCGGTTTAAATCTAGTTTTAAAATTTGGATTTGGTTTAAAACCAATTTTAAACCATTTTTACATATAGTAAAAATATGCTATAATTTTTTATATTATTATTAAATTTTTATATTAAAATATATTTAAATTTTATAATAAATAAAATAAAATTATATTTATATATATATATATATATATATATATTTGTTAAGCATTAACATTTATTAAAGATAAAATATAAATACAACAGGTACTTTAATCTATAACATTTCTAAAAAGAATTAACAATACATGTCAAAAAAATATTTGTATATATTTTAATTTATTAATAATATTTTATTAAAGTAATAAATATTTAAATATATTATAGTTTTTATTATCTATTCATCATACAAATTAATTATGAGTTAAATTTTAAACTATTTTATTTTATTTTATTTTTTTAATCAATTCAAAAATAATTTTAAAATTTAAATTTAATTTAAATTTAATTTTTATTAAAACTAATTTTAAATTTAATTTTTAACGTAAAACTGATTTTCAATACATTTATAAATTATATTTTTAAGGTAAAACTAATTTATTATATAAAACGTTGTATTAAATCCGTGTATTTAAAAAAAATTGAATAATATTTATCAATATATTATATTTTATAGAAGTGCATAAAATATTTATTATTATTTTTAACTTATTTTTAATAAATAAAGTTTATAGTGAAAGTTTAAATTAAAACCTATAAAAATAAAAATTATTAATATAAATAATAAAATTATTATAATATTTTAAAAATTAAAAAGTAAACATAAATATAAAAAAATGTATTAATTAATTTAAAAATATTTTTTATATTTTAATATCTTTAATTATTTTGAATATTTTAATTTTAATTATAAGAATTAATAAAAAAATATTAGTGATAAAATATAGTTATAATAAAATTTTGTAAATTAATATAATACAAAAATTTAATAAGTAAATATATAAGATAATAGCTTCATATATATATATATATATATATATAGATTTGGATAACTAAAAAAAAATCTAGTTTTAGAAAATGAATTTAAACACTAAACTGGTTACACAAATACAATTAATAAAAAAATCTTTAATATGAATCTAAATTTTTAAAATCAGTTTAATATTAATTATAGATTAGATTTGTAAAACCAGATTTTTTGAACAGCCTTAGCTTCTACTACTTCCATATGTTGTGTGCTGAAATCTGTTCTTGGGCCATCCATGGCCTTGTTGTGCTTCCCCTTTTCTTTTCCTCTGTTATCGTACGGAGATAAAAATTCGCTAAAAAAAATATCTTGTGATTAGCATCATCCTTTTATTTTATTCTATTTTTTTTGTTCCAAGAGTGTGATGGATGTTTGAACGAGAACTAATCCACAGTTATTGACCCAAAAAAACTAAAATGAAAGAAAATTAATCCACAGTTAATGCAGTGGGGGACAGAAGACTTGTGATTTTACGCTTGTATATTGACATAGTTGATGTAACGTGAAGCTTTTCAATGTGTAGTTGCCTGCTTTTAATTTCTATAAAAAATGTTAATTTTACTTTTTAGAATAAAGTTTAAATATTTAATGACAATAATAATAAATTTTTATTAAAAATATTTTTTATACTTTATATCTTTAATATAATAAAATTATTTCAATAAAAATATATTTATTTTTAGATATTTAAACTCATAAGTTAACAAAATTTACTTGTTTAAGTTAGTATTTTTAATTTTAATTAGAATTTATAAACTTCAATTTTTTAAATTAAATTTTAAAAATATTTTTATTAAAAATTTTATTACATTAAAATTATAATAAGTATAGTAAATAATTTTTTAACAAAATTTTATTTGTATTATCATCATTAGTTCTTTATTAAGCTGAGATTAACATGTATTTTAATTATTAAGAAAAAAGTCTTGTCGACCACATTTAGTTAAAGGATAAAGGTGGGGCTGTCAAATTAGACACTGACTATGAAAGAAGTGCAATGCGAAAAGAAGCGTAGAGGATGACCCAGCACAAAATTATATATGGACATAGTACAAAAGTTAGATAATTTCATTTTCACAATATGTGAATCTGCTATTTCTATTTCTATTTCTTTCTATAATAAATAAAATTCATACACTACACTTCTATGGAAAAAATGTGACAATATTCTCAATTAGATAACACAGTTGGTAACTCATTGCTCACTGTACCTTGCTCATTGTTATGGGCTGTAATTGCATCTAGGATAGGTGGTGAACTTCTTATGAGTTTGTTTAGATGCTTTTGAAGAAGGAGTTTGATTACCCTTTGAGGCAATGATATGAAATTCATGAAAGTCTCTGCGTTCCTTTCAATAAAACGAATAATTGTTGCTAACAAAGCGAAGATAGCAATGGATCCGCATATGCCAAATAGACCAAAGAAAGGTTGAGGACCCAATTGTTGTTCATTTTGTATTTTGCTGTTTGTAGTTCCACAATTGGTGGTGGATAGCATCTTCTCTTCTAATTTTTGCACTTCTCCGCTTTCTATGGCTTTTAGGGTTGCCCGTGATATGTCAATTGCTAGACTTGAACCTTTTGGGAATGCCTGCATCAATGATTTATAATTATCATGAGTATCAAACACCTCATTAATTTACATCGTTAAATTAAGGGACGATATTAAGCAGAATAAAATAAGAATTTACTTTAAATATACTCTCATTAAATTATGAGTTATCATGTCAGTAAAAAATGTTATTTTTTGTGTTATTTTTAGATAATAACTGTGATGAGTTTTGATTAATTATTAGTGTAACTAAACTAAAAAAATTGATAGAGAATGTCCATATATATAGGCAATGTTACATCACTTGTAGTGTGGTGCAATGTCATTTTTTAATCCACTGAATTATTAATAATAAATTAATTAAATATAATTTTTTCCATAAAAATATGATTTTTTTAACATGTGGGTGGAAGCATATGATGATGCATATATATGTGGCAAGATGAAAAGAGAAACTCACAAAACCTAATCCACCAAGCTTCAAGGTGGGTCCTGCTTTGATGTAGCCCTTGCAATAGGTAGCAAGGAAGACTTCAGCATGAGGGGCAATTGTAAAAGCTGCCACTATTTCTTTGTTCTCAAAGGCTCTGGGGAAATCATAGATTGAGTCAAATACTCTCACATTCTCAGCCTGGAATTTTAGTTGATCAACTAAGTAATGGACCAAAAATGTGTTCTTATTGCACCCTATGATAGCATTTGTTCTCAGCAGTGTTTGTATATCCGGCACAGATGGTTCAAGTTGAGACACTGTCAACATGGATGATAGGCTTGCTGTAAAGGTTTGAGTCACTATGAGAATGGCAAATAACCAAGGTGCTAACACAGCTCGGGCCAAGTTGCTTTTCACAGGTTCTCCTACATATCACAAATATTTTTAACATTATATTAAACTTCATTAAGGAAATTACTCATCATGAATGTTCAAAAATGTTATTATATAGTATCAATAACTTATAATTAATATTCTCTAACATGCACATTTTTTTTAATTAGCTAAAATTTATTAATAAATATAAAGTTACATTTGGACAGAATAATTTAAAATCACAACAATTCATGTATTTAAATATTAAAAAAATAATTTGAAAATACTACAAATTGTAACTATTTTTTTTTGCTATTACTATATAATTTTTATTTTAAATATAAATAATTATAAAAAACTTATTTTTAGAGAGAATTTTAAATTCTCTCTATTATACTTAACTTTTTAGATTTGTCATTCACAATTCTTCTCATACTTTACTATCACTCTAAACATGCCTCATTATTGCTTTCATATTGTTAAGAAACATGATTTAGAAGAAGAAATAAATAAAAAGTTGAGTAAAAGATGAAAATATATTAATTAAAATAGTAACAAAAAGATGAGTTACAAGAGGAAAAATATAGCTTATATAGTCAACTGATTTTGTAAATCTCTAACTAATTTTTATATTTTTGATAGCCCTCACAAGTTAAAAGATATGCATTAATACATTCAGCTTAGAATTAGTGATACAAATATACGTGAAATAAAAAATATAATAAATATTACTAAAAATATCACCAAGTTAATAAATCAAGAGTTGTTATTTAATCACTATAAAAGATAGAAACTACAAATACTTAACCACTAGATAAAAGCTTCACTCATTACTTAATCATTTAGTAGAAGCAAACATCATCGTTAACAACAAAAAAAAGCTTAATTACTTAAATAGAAGGTACTATAATTTCTTAATCACTTGACAAAAATAAAATCGTATGAAAAAAAATAATTAAAGAATTAAATCATCAAATACTTAATATACAGAAAGAACAAAGATAAAGAGTATAAATGTGACCATTAATCAAGTGTAATGAGATTTCATCCTCTATAACAAGAAGAAAGATAACAATCATAAAACGTGTCTTTCCTTTATCTGAAGCAAGAACTAACATAATAAGACCTTGTTACTCCTAGCGGGTAAAATGCACCAATAACTTCTCAATAGTGCGGGCTCCATGTAGGCTAAGACATTCTAATTATCTGAAGATGAAATTGAATCAATACTAACATGATTTGAGTTCATTGTTCTTTATTAAAAAATTTTACCATCCTCTAAACAACATAATTTCCAAAGGGGTCAACTATCAACTTAACCACATGATTTATTAGCTCCAAGATAATGTAGAAAGTTCATCTCTTGTCAATATTTTTAGTGTTTCCTACAAAGTCCTACATTCATATTGGTTCATAGCCAATAATAGAACGCTCTCCCTATAAACATTGAACCATTGCAAAGTCTTTCATCAATATTAACCTTGGAACACTCAACCTGCTACTTTAGTAATCGTTTAAAAAATTATCACTCAAGGATTTTTGTTGCACTACATTCAAAAGTAGCACAATGGAGAAAAGTTGCCAATTTCTCTATTTCACTCTCACCAAAGAGTCAGAATAATAATAAAAAAAACCCATGATTGTAGCTTGAAGAATAATCGTTGGTGTTGAATGTAGAAAAAGAAGAAGGATAATGCTTAGAACTTTGAGAGGCTACAAGAGCCCCATTTTCATAAGCATAATGAGAGAATCTTTTTGATACCATTAATACCAAAAGACCCAAGGCCATGAAGATCAAGGGATTGGTGATTAAAAGAAGATGCACAAAAAGAAAGACCAACAAAAGAATTTTCTAAAATTTGATTCAAGTGATAGGGGTTTTGGCTTTGCAACAAAAATTGTTAAATTCTTTGCAGCCTACGCGGCTTTGGATGTTTATGAAAGAGCAACACTTAAAAAATATGAGGTCAAAAGACTTTTGTATACAATAGTTACAACTTTATTTCAAGGAGGTCATTACTTAGATACCATGTTAAAAAAACATGACTTACAAAGAGAAAAAAAATAAATAAAAGATTGAGTATAAGATGAAAGTAATCTCTAACTAATTTTTATATTTTTGATATAATCCAATATTTTTATCTAATATAATTAATCTAATTTTTATATCCTTCCATCATCCAAACACAACTTAAAAAATATGAAAAAAAAATGTTGTTAATGTCTTTTCAACATTAATTTATGAAATCTACATGCTAGAAGCAAATATGAGTAATGAATAATAATCAAATTGAGAGATTTCATATGGTGACGGATCGAAATAGGCTATAGCTATAACCTGAGTCGTCATAGCTTTATTTTTTTGGAAAAAAATATTATATATGTAATATAAGAAGTTGCTTATTACATTAGCATGATATCAATACATATAATGCAGCCACGTCACAATGCCAATTTGATGAAATTGTAAGAGAAACATAAAGGAGTTTAGAGTTTAATTTGTGTGACTTACTGTGTGCGAAGAATAATATCGTAACAGAAAACCAGAGAATGGCCCCAAAACTCTTGAGCTCTGCATTAAATTCACCTTCAATGGACCAGATTACAAATGCTATGAACAAATGCAATACGGCCATTAACAACCACATTTCTTTTGTGAAAGCGCCCATGAACATCCAGATTTCATTGGATTTATCTGGCTTTACTTTTACTACCATGGCGATACCAGAATCAATATATGGCTGAGAAAATTCCGCAAATGCATATCTATGGTCAACTATTTGTATATCTCCAACAGCAGCATCAAGGTTCTGCAATAGAAGCATACATATTATAATATGATTATGAATTTTAAACAAATGCTGACATTGGTTAAAAAAATTAAAACAATTTTTTTAATTAAGCATTCTACATGATTTTCAAAGTACACTAACATTTTTATTTATTGACTCCTTAATCAGTTTCCTACTGATTAGTAAGACCCTTGATTTTATCCACATATATATACAATTATGGAGTTAATTAGCAAAGAAAACGTCTTTACCTTATTGTTCACTTGTTCAACTATTTGATCATAAGAGCCATAAAATGGCACTAAAGCATAAGGCAGGTGATAAGGCAGGCGTTTCACAACTGTTTCAAAGACATTGATAGAGAAACCAGTGAATTTAGTTTCATTAAGTTTCTGATCATGGCTTACATTCACATACTGGGGACATGGATCAATAGCTGGAACCCCTATTTTCAATGGCCTTCCCTCAGTACTATTGTAAACCCAACCTTTTGGAACGGTTTCCAACCCACCAGGCCAATTCACAGAACCTAAAAGCACTCTACCAGAACCAGTATGCTTAACAAGGTTCTCAGTGAAACCAAATTCCGGTGACCAATATGCTAACTCTTTGTAACTTTTTCCAACAACATTGACAATTTTAAAAGTTGGTGATTCCAATAATTTTCTCTCTTTGAAGCTTATCTTCCCACTAAGACCCTCATGATCATTGTTTAAAATATTTTTTGATAACTCTTCCAAAGTAAAGTTTCCTTGTGATTTCTTCAGTGCATGAGCAATAGTCCAAACAGCATCATAAGCCCTAAGAGCAAAGAAACTTGGTTGGGGGTATTCTTCTTCAGGGTATTCCAATCCAAACTTTCTTCTGAACATGAATTTGAACCGTTTGAACGTGTGACTCATTTCCATGAAGGTAGTTTTGCATCCCACAACACCTTGCATGTTGAAGATGACATAAGAATCCACTGAATCAAGAAGGGTGGCTACATCATCTGCTATGATCCACACTGACCCTTTTCCCATCATACCCATTTGCTTAGCCTTTTCAAATAGTAAAGTAGCAAACTCTAAGGAAGATTGTACAAAAACAAAAACCCTATTGCTCTTGTTCTTTAGCCTTGTAAGTTCTTGTTCAATTTTAGCTTTTGGGTCTGAAAGAGAGTTCATTGAAGGAAAAGCTACGTGGTGATCAATTTCAGCATTAACAAGGCGGAGAGAATAAGAGAGTCTTGTCAATATCTCTGAATAAGAGGCAAAACCATTGTTGTGTTCATAAATTGCTGTCACCTTTCGCCAATTGAAGTGATCTACGATGGATGCAATGCAGTGAAGATGAAGGGTAACATCGTTACACATTTGTATGAAATGTGGTAATGGGATTGGCGTTATTTCTAGACTAGCTGTTGAGGTTAGAGATATGATGGAGACATCCTTTGAGGTTTCATGAATCTCCTCGAATAAAGTTGCAGCATCAAGTTTTGTTCCTATGATAACTTGCACTTGTTTGCTGTTTGCAAGATCTATTATATATAGAATGAAAGAAAAAGATAATTATTCTTGGAACAATTGGTTAAAAGTAATCATATTTATATACAATAATTTATATATAGTGTGAAATGGAGAAAGAGAAAAATGTGAAATAAGATAGTTGATATAATAGAGAGAATATGTGTGTGTATAATTTATTACATAGATAATCTTACTCGTTTAAAGTATTTTCACAGAATTTTAAAAACTATTTTTAGGAAAATTATTATTTTTACTATGCCCCTCGCACAGTAAAAATTCCTTCTCTATTTCTTCTGTTATTAAAAACAAGCTTATAAAAGGAAAAAATAACAATTAAGATAGAAACAGTTTCTTTTAAAAGATATAAATTAATGACATATCCACTTTTAATTAAAGAGATACAAAGGAGACAAGAATCCACAACAGATAATTTTAACTATAAACTTATAGGGCTCGATAGGTATGTTAAATTAAATAGTTGCACTCAATATATAATTAGTAACTATACCAGGCTACTAATAAAATAACAACAATAAAAAGTGTGTCAATCTTTTTATAAATATCTGTAATTATATTTTTCAGTTAAAATTTTTAATGATTTAGTAATTAAGTGATCTAGGTTAATAATTTGTACTGTGTAAATAAAGTCGTAAAGAAAAAAAATATGGAAAGGTGGTCTTTTAGCCAATGAATGATTCAGAATTTTCAAAAGCTTTAAATTTCTTTTAAATATGATCTGTTTCCATAGAGATTTTAAGTTTACTTTATGATAATTTTAATTGTATATGATTTTTTTTTCTAATTTTAAAACTCTAGTTGCTTTCAAATTTGAAATACCTACAATTGTGTATCTCTTAAATGTTACTGCATTTATTTTATATATATATATTTTTTTTTATAGACAAAACAAATCTTATTAAAAAGAGTTCAAAGGGAACTCAAAACTCATATACACAAAAAATTACTTACTCAGAGAAATAAAAAGCAAAAATAAGTCTACTCAATATTAAGAAACGTTTAGATTATATTGTTTTATATTCAAAGAGTTGTAACTAAATTTTGATTAAGAGATAAATATATCTTTTAAATTAATCAAAATAAAGATAAGTTCAAATTAAGCTAAGTTCATTTTAGGCCTAACTAGCAACATCGGCCTTGTTTGGTCCATAAAATATTAAAGAGATTTTTTTATCATTGTTTTACTATTTAAATCACCTCTTTATTATCATTTTTAAATTTAATTTTTGAGGATATATTACATATTTTTACAAGTTATATTACTTGGATTGAGTCATCGCAGTTTTTTTTTCCTTTTTCTTATGTCAAGATTAATTTTTCACATTTTCACTTTACACATGCACATGTGTATTTCACTTTACAGGACCAAAAATAAAATAAAATTAACGATAGTCATACAGCGGTGTTGTAATTTGTAAACAGGTAAATGTTCTTTCATTCTTTGCTTCTTGACATAGACGCTTTTAGGTGTTTCTTTTATTTAAGAGTGTATTTTATAAATCTGTGTATATTAAAAAAAATTTAAAAAAAAAAGAGAGAAAGAGAAATATGTATACCATGTCTCATATAGTGTTAATTTTTAGTGATTTTAATCATATAAAATCGATAACTAACCAGACTAAATCTGGCAAAAAGGATGAGAAGAATATGAAATGATGGAGTTGAAAGTTACCAGAAGCCAGTATACGAGAAGGGTTGCGATATTGAGAATTATCATAGAAGTTTAAGAGAAGCTCATAGCAACTTTGGCTATTTATATCTTTGATAGCAATTTCCATTGCTGTTTTCTGCTCCTTTCCCACCCTTGAACTCAAGTCTATGGCGGCTCCAATGTTCACAATAATCTTGGAGTTGAATGTTGGGCACTTTGTGTGGTTTCCTTCTATTTCATAATCATTGGCATTAGCAATAGCTTCTGACCACACCAACTGAAGCATTAGTACCAACAATAACATAAATGGAGGAGACATAGAACTGTTCAAAGTTGAGGGAAAAAGATGCACCATCGCTTCTAGGCTCCAGCTATCTATCTACAAGTATAGTATATACGATATATTATATAGTATTGACATTTGACTAGAAAATAAGAGCATTATTTTTAATTCCCATCCATGTGTTTGTCCAGGTCTTCTGCTTTTGGTTATATCTTCTCGTTGTCTTTGAATAAAAAACCATTTATTACGTAATTGCATCCCTAGTCATTGTTATATAGACTTTGAAACATTACTAAAATTATACGAATTACAGACAAATCTTTCAAACGTTATAGATAAATTTCATTATTTCAGATATATTTATAGATGAGTTAGTCATATATAATTTCTTTGTTGGTAAATTAATATAAGACAAATTTTTAAATTTATTTGTGTTATTTAATTTAGTTTTTTTATTTTTATTTACTTGTATAATTATTTATCCCTATTTCTAATTAAGGAAATTTGTAAATATAAAAAATTTATAAAATCAAAATTTAAAATTCAAAAAATATTTCAAAAATATTAAATTAAAATATCATTACAATTAACAAAGTAAACATTCAAAATAATAATGTCAAAAATAAAATAACAATGTATATTATGAGTACTCGACATGATCATTGTCAGTAGTAACAACAGTATTAGTAGAGGAAGGAGAAAATCACATTAGACCAAATACTAATAGTGTTGGAGCTAGTGGAGTAGAAGGAAAATGTGTGTAGCTGTTTACTCTCATGAGTTCGAAGTATGTATGAATATATTGCATTTGCAAATGATATTGCTGTACCTCTCTATGCATTCTCGATGTCACTTTTGTTTATATCTTTTTCTTTATTTTTTTAGTCACTTCTTCTTCCATGCACTTTCTTTGGTCTTCCATAACTCCTCATTTTATTTCTGGAGCTCTTCATTTAAGCATGGACTTGAGTGTGAATCATATCCTCCACTTGGTCAAGCGCAAGAAAAGGGACATCTCTGGTGACAGGTGTAGGAGACATCAGTCTACAAAGCAGCCCTCCATGCTATAAATGTGGCCTTTATAAAGGTTGCCCACCGTCTCTGACCACATAGCATCTGCATCAATAAACTCTAGGTCCTGAGAAGATGCAGCGTCCAACCTTTGAACATAGTTACCCTATAGTTTAGTGCAGATAATTATATATTAGACTCGAGAAATATTTTTTAAATCTTTATAAAAAAATATAATGTTAGTAACTATACTTACATATGTGGCTTGAGATTGTGTATCAACCCACATAATTTTGTCTCCCTTGCAAGCGTATGTCTTCTTAAACACCTCTCTATGCGTAGGTGGTCTCTTCAGCGACTTCTCATACAATTTCAATTAATAAACCTCTTTAATATGAATTGATAAATTGAATAACATAAATTTTAAAACAAAATTAAAAATCACTAGCCAAGTTGGCTTTAATGTCGGCCAAAGTTGTAAAGCCACCAATTTGCAGTGATCATCATTTATTAGATGCCTTATTTGTCTTGTTCTATATAGAGAAATTTTTAAACTCATCTGTACACCAATATTCCTGCAAGGCATGAAAGACGTAGGTGTTATCTAATATACAGATAACAGGTCCTAACGAGCCTTAATGTAAATATATCTTAGTCGCTTTGCGATATGACTCTTCTAAGCCTTGAAAATCATCTTCTCATTTTGGAAGAAATGGAAAATTTGCTCTGCGTAAATAGAAATTAATTAATACATGTACAAGAATTAGATATCTAATTAGACTTAAAATAAATCAATTGACTTTTATTACCTTCCAATCTTTGAACCATTTTAAATTTGTACATTAGGCATCTTATTAAAACTTGTGTAAGACGCATCATACATCTTTTTAATGGTATCTGTTACGTGGTAGATACCAACTGAACACATAATAAAATAACACAAAATTTTATAACATTCATATCAAATAAAGTTTTTGCCATATTTTGTAAATAACTTACCAAGTGGATCCATCCCATTTCAAACCTGGAAGTAGTCTTGATGGTGCTGGGTTTGTGATGACTGCTGCCCACAGGAAGTTGCAACTGCAATAGATCCCTTGCCTATGCGCCTGTGCGCTATGTATAGGAGGATTGTGTGCCAGATGTAATTGACGATGCAAACTTGAAACTCGTTATACTAGAGGGGGAGAGACACATACCTAGGGTTGAGCTCCATGATGAATTGCTCTACCTCCAAGCCTAGAAGGTTTGCACTGTAGTTGGTGTGGAGGTGGAAGTGGGCGCGGTGGGTGAAGAAGTGATGCCATGAGCAATACATTGAGCAACACATTTGTTACTTTTTGTCACGACCCCTTTTTGTAAGAAACCGAGAACATTGTTTCTACATCACATACTTATTTAAGATAAATAAATAATAGAGAATATAAGTGTGAAATTCACTACTCATTCAAAATAAAACAAAGTTTCTTACAACAAATATTCAACAGAACAACATAATATTACATTTAGTTCATAATATTCAAAATACACAAAATTGTACTACGTAGCTCCCTCTACATGAGGTCTCAAAATATAAGGAAAAAGGACTTTGATGCAATATTACTTGACTCCAGCTTTTAACATTTCTTCACTGGCCCCTCAGCCTGTGAAGTAGATGCAACACCTGCTATATCTGCTCACGTACCACCGTACGATCATCGCAATACACACACACACAACGACATAGAAAGAAATACAAAGGTGAGCTTACAAAAATAAAATAAAATCATATATATAGAGCAAAATATTTCTCACAACAATAGCCCCATGCATTTCCAGCCCATCTAATGCACAGCATGAAAACAGTTTCCAACTGATTTCACAGCCTAAGTAATCCAGAAGGAAGCGAGCCGGTTCAAGAGCGACTCATTCCGGTATCTGGATCCAGACAGCACAGCACAGTAGCTCAGCATGAACTTACCGTTACACGTCTACCCACTTAAACATGTAACTCGGCTCTATAATGATGCAAAACATATATCTCAGCATGATGCACACCGCTAAAATTATTTTGACAGCTCAGCTAAGACAAGTTTAAGATAGATCAACCAAAATCTCAGCATATTAAATCAATTAACAGCCGTCACAGCTTAGAAAATAACTTTTATTTAATAGATCTAACAAAATCATATCAAAACATCTTGAAATAGCATATTAAACCATTCAAAACGTAGATTATAGGCTAAAGTAAGCTCCCCTTACCTCAGAACGATGATTCACACTAGATTTACCGAATATTATTTGTTTTATAGCAAGATTCACCGAAAATTTGGCTTTAGAACGGAGTTTCTCCTAAGAACATCATGAACTTCTATGAGAAAGAGAAGAAGAAGAGAAACGAACGGTAAATCTAGCTTCAATCTTAAACTTCAAATCTCTCAGAATAGACGTAGAATCTCATATCTGGCAAGAAATCTAAGTTTATGAGGGTTTAATATGAGAGAAAATGGTAGTATACGGCCTTAGAACCTTTGAGAACCTTGGAGAGGAATGAAGAAATGAAAATTTCGTGTGAAGCCCCTTTTTATAGAAAATTTTCAAAATTTACTGTTTATCGCCGGAAACACTATTTACCGCCTTACTGTTCACGTCGAAAATACCGTTCAAGACACTATTTACGCTGAAAAATACTGTGCACGCGTACTGTACACGCACTGTACGTGTATGTGACGTCAGCCATGATGATGATGTCACTGATGACGTCAGCAGTCACTGTACATACGCGATTTTTATTATTCATACACGATTTGTACGCAGTTTGCACTGTTCATTTGGCACTGTTCATATGGTACTGTTCACTTTTTTTTTTAAATAAATAATTCCAAACTCCATCTAAATTTATTCCAGTACCAAATAATCATTCAATTAACATTGAACAAGTATAAAATATTATAGATTACTCAATGATAAATCACAAGCCTGACACTTTTACTTGTCATATTTGATGAAATATAGTATAAGCTTAGTAAAAAATATCATTGCTAAAACATTATTAAAATAAAACAAGATCAACATTGGTGAATAATCAAAATAGTCATGCATTGAAATGAAACATCTATTCACCTTTTTAATTTACTTTATTTACTCTAATAGTTAAAGACTACCATCATCATTCTCAGATGAAATGTTATCCACAAATTCTTGCTTCTCATCGTATAAAGGGATTAAATATCAATTTGATATGTCTCCTCATCATCTACTTGATAAGTTTCAATTTGACCCCTTAGTTTAGTTTTTATTATGACCCTTCAATTTTTATTACATTTTTTAGGGTAAGACAAAAAAAATATACTTGTCTTGCATTTTGTGCAATGATAAATGGGTCAAAGCCTTTATATCTTTTAGTATGATTAATCTCAATTATATTGTACTAGTTATGTTTATGTGTTCCTGTTGAACATATTGGATCAAACCATTCATACTTGAATAAGATAACCCGTTTTATAATTTCACTAGCATGTTCTAGCTCAATTATTTTCTTAAGTTTCTCATACCAACCACAATCACCAATACTTGAATTCCCTTTAACACTAACTCCCGCTATTGTTTATTTTTCTTCCTTTACATGATTGAATGGTTTGGAATTTGTACCAATTAACATAGTAAATTGGCTAGCAATATACTTTATTTTTTAGGCCTCTAGACAAGTCATATAGGTGAATATAAGCTATAGCATTATCGAGCTTATGCACCTACACATACCATTCAAGATATCAAATTGAAGAATAAGGATCATATAAAAAAATTAACACAAACTTGTAAGGAAAATTACATGACGTACATAAGTTTTGAACCATGATGAAACTTGATTAAGACAATCTTTACCATATAATTGTTTAAAATATTTGTAAACATTGAAACAATGGGTAAGAATTGAGTCACTTGATCGGCAAAATAAATTAAAGCAATCATAATTCACTTACGTTCTAAAAGGTTACACTTTGTCACAATTTATCAAGATGTGTAAATGCGCTACATCTCATTCATCTTCTTATCCATCATTTGATATATATGTTTGCACA